GAGCACACTATAATCTCTTCCCCTCCATCTCTGTCTCTTTTGGGAATTTTGGGCAGACATGCACATGTGCCCAATATGCTTTTCAAGCCATTGGATCTGGGACTCAAGCCACATGGTCAGCAATGTGAGATCCAGTCACCTACCCACCAGGCCCGGCTCTTGCTGCTTTACCAGCTTATTTTTGTTCAAGAATATTCCAAAATTAAAATTCTGTTTTATTATTATGTCGACATCTGTATGTATTTAACATGCCCTATGGAAATCTATTTGGAATCTCCCAATTACATACAAAATTCACCTGCTTCTGGAGAGTGCCAGCAGGTGAGGAAAATGATAAGAAATTTTTTAATAGGTCCACATTCTGAGAAGGTATTTGGTATTTTAGCATTTGGCTAGGTCCGCCTATAACAAATTGCCCTACTAAGACCATAACTGGAATGTGTCTATATGTGGCATGTCATTTAAACACGTGGTTCAAAGACACAGCTAGTGCGTACTGACATAGCGGTGACTCTTGCAAGGGGAAAACATTTCCAGGACAGAACAATGGTTCTGTAGGCACTTTTTTTTCTGTGTTGAACATCAATTTGTCCCACTCGCATGATTTCAGAGTCCACTGTATAATTTCAGCTGGCGTAATTTCATGCTACTTAAGCGTGACTCTTAGTAGTGGTCATAAATCTTGTTTTCTAAGAAATGCTTGTTCTGGGCGGCATGATATTTGTTCTTTCTGACGCATCTGCCAGCCAGAAGCTAGCCACCATTTATCCCAACAGCAAGGACAGAATCTTAGCACTAGAGAGGAATGGCTTGAAGGACAACAGAGAACTTGCTTTGTGTAGTTGAGAAGGATTGATCTCTCCATGTATTGAAAAAGGAAGAAAAATGGCACATGTCCTTATATTTAATTTGAGATGCTATGAGCCATTGGTGGGATATTGAAAATGCTTGTCCAATCCATAATTCTATTTTTTTTGTTGTTTTGTTTTTAACTTTCAAGTTGTTTTGAGGCTGCCCATGTGGTCTCAGGCGATCTTGTGTATAGCTGCTGAACTGCCGTGTGACAGGTGGGGCCAGCATGTTGTTCCATGATGAAGAGAATGTTCTAGTTCTCTCTACAATCAACATACTTGCTTCAACTGCCCTCCAAGGATGAGTCAGGAGCAAATTTGTGATTACTGTATCATTTCCTTCCCCTCACCCATTGGTTCTTGTTTTTATTATAGACGCTCATGAGTTCTCAGCCAGTGTGATTTGATCTTGAAAATACTGCTGGAGAGTGTGGATATGCACACTTAGATTTCTTGTACTAGTGCGATGAGCTTCTGTAGGAGAGTTGACTTCTCCTTATGCATACTTGGGCATACTCTATGGTTAAAAAACTAATAGCCACACTTTCAGTTGCCCGTTTATTGCATCTTGTATAATAGAATCAGATAGTTCTGAAAAAAAATGTTTTTAAGTACCTCATCTTGATTATTCAAGTAATCTATTTGCTAGTTGGGCAATAAAGAATGTAATTAAGGGACTAGCAGGTGTCATGGGAGTTAAGGTGCTGGACTCCCACATGGCTGACTGTGGTTCATGTCCCAAATCTGTCAGCTTGAGAATCATGTCGAGCACAAGTGTGCACATGTGCTCAAGATCCCAAAATAAGAGTGAAGGAGAAGGGATTGCAGTGTGGCCTTCTCCCAGGTGGTGATTTCTCCCTCTCCCTCTCTCTATGTCTCTTCTCTGGTGAGTACATGCACTTTATGGCAAAACCCTAAAATAAATAAATAAATAAGAAAATTTTGAACCACTGTATTAGGGGACTTCAAAATGTTCATTGAAAATAGAATTAAAATGCGAATTTATTGGGCCAGCAGGTGGCATGGTGATTAAGGGCACTGGACTCCCAATGGCCAACCATGGTTCAAGTCCCAAATCTGGTGGCTTGCTTTCTCATGTTTTCTCTCTCTTTCTTTCTCATTCTATCCCTCTCTGGTCAAATTAAAATAAATAAATAAATGGATAAATAAAGTTAAATAAAATAATTCTTTAAAAAATGCAAATTTGTTTTGGCACAAATAATATCATTTTTTTTCATAATATACAGTTTCCATGTAGCTAGTGGTGTGTTAAGGTTGCTGAATGCCACATGACCCACTACATGATTTGAGTCCTAGACTCAGTGTCTTGAAAAACATATTGGACACATGTATGTTTGTGCCCAAAATCTCAGAAGGAGAGGTGAAGAAGGGATTACAGCATGACAGTTCCCCATAGAGGGTGCTTTCTAACTTTCCCTCTTTTTCTCTCTGTCTCTCTCGGGTAAGCACACACACTCTCTCTCTCTTTATTTTTCTTTCTTTAGAGAGATTTTTTGCTATAGGGCATGTGTGCTCACCAAAGAGACAGAGAGACAGAAAGTGAGAAATCACCTCCATCGGGGGGAATGACCATGCTGCAGTCCCTTCTTCTCCAGTTCTTCCTCTTGGGATTTTGGGCACACACACACACACACACACACACACACACACACACGTGGCTGGCATGAGTTTTAAGCCACAGGATCTAGGTCTTGAACCTCGGTTGACTATGTGGGAGTCCAGTGACATAACCATCATGCCATTTCCTGGTCTCAAGCATATACACTCTCTAGCAAATTAAAAAACAAATGTTACAAAAGAAAAGGACTTTTCTTTTTCTCACTACAGAGTATGTGTTCTCACCAGAGAGAGAGAAAAGAGGACTGGAAGGAAGGGGACAAAGCACCCCCAGTAGTGTGGTCATGCCAGAATCTCTTCTCCTCCAACTCTCCATCCTGTTGTGATTTTGGACACACACATGCCCGTGTTTTTCAGGCTGTCATGGCTGGGGTCTGGGACTCAACCTCATGGTCTGCCTTGTGGGATCCAGCTGCTTTAACTGCCAGGCCACAGGAGCCAGCCTGAACATTTTCTCTAAATTGAGAGTGTCTACACTAAATCTCAGGAGAAAAAGATGTAACAAAGGGAGAAAGAAAATTTACCGGGATTGCAGCTGCTGTTCCCAAGACAGATAGGACAAAAATCACGGCCTTCATGCTTCCTGCACCTGTGAACCAAGAAGATAGTCATCAGTCGTGGTTAAAAGTTTCTTTATGAAGAGTAAAAAGATAATCCTAGCAAATACGGAGCTTAATACTGTATGTAAAGGTAATAATGTCTTTGTGTACTTACATGTCTAAAAAGGCAGTTTCATGACAATTTTTACCCAATAATGTCCTTGTAAAAATTACTCCTCGATTTTTTTGGACTTCACAATGGAAAAAGCATTAAACTGATGAGGGAGCTGGATTCTCCTTCCAGCACTATTCCTAAGTGGCCAAACAGTTTTCTTAAGTAATGGACAACAAAGGGCGTGATAGAGGATCCTCTAACCCTAATATTTTGTGATTCTAAAATAGAAATGAATTCTTTACATGTCACAAACCCCAAATTGTTGCTATCTTTTCCTCCTTAAACTACTAAACCCACTAAAAATATGTGCTATAATTTTATTTTAGCAAAATAAAATATTTTATATACAGTATTTAATACTTAAAGTAAATATATAGGGCTTATTGTCTCTCTGTATTATTATTTTTAAACAGATTTAATTTTATCTATTTATTAATATTTTTAAATTTGACCCGATAGAGCAAGCGAGACAGAGAGATGGGGAGGAGTGAGAAAGCAAGCTGCCAGGTCTGGGACTTGAACCATGGTCAACCATGTGGGAGTC